ATGCACGTTATGCCTAAGCCATAATGAGGCTATTATGAGTGATTAATGACATTAAATGTTACGTTACATAATCATTACATTGAATGTATATATTCCTTAACGGCTCTAGCATTTAATACCCTTCAAATGCCGTATTTGCATCTTTTTCTTTAGCCAGGTTCATTCTTCTCATTGCTCGTATGTAAATAAGCTTAAACAGGAACGGGGCGCTGAGCCTCTCGTCTCGTGCCTCTTTCTACCCGTACCTGTTTGTAATTCTTGAACCGTGGCAAATCATAACTTATTATCCATTCCACGCGTCAGGACACGTCATCATATATATGAATACAAATTTTCCCCAATACAAAGAAGAAGTCTATTTATAGGCATTGGATACTTGCTCAATTTGTTTGTTCTCATCCTTAATTGTTCCATGTTTGAAGTTAACTGATTTGTATAGCATGAAAGAGATTAATTCGTAATTTTCTGACTAAACTGGCATTACGATGCATTTTTCTTCAAGGAACAAAGTCAAAAGATTTGTGGCATTAGTTTGTAGGAGATGAGGTTATAAACTTTTGTGGTCTAGGATATTAGTCATTTAGCAGTCCGTTGGAGTAGTCACCGAATTGACCCTTGGTTTTTCTGTTAGTTGTCGTGCAAATGAACTAGATATTTGGCCTTTGTGGCTCAGACTTCAAAAAACTAGTATAAGTCACGCTAAAGTCATTCACTTATACTTGAGGTTGCATGGCCCAAATCTGTTCTTGTTTTAAACTGCAGGTTTTTCACGTTTTATATTCATCAAATAGGAGTTGAGATAGTTCTTTATGTGATAGGAGTGAAAAACACAAAAGCTTGTGATGTGTCTGTTTTCATATTGCTCGAGACCTATAATATGTTTAAACTCTTTCACCACAGAAGCTTGTCACCTGCAGCTTCATGTTGTATTTTTTATTCTATGTTTCTCTCAAGGATCTAGTTACTTAAAATTCCTATCTCTTAAATTGCACTCTGCTTTTACAACAAAATGCGAGTATAGCTACAGCTTCCTACTACTGCTTCCTTCTCAACCACCACTCAACATTACTCGTCGCAGTTCATACTTCATAAGGGCCTGCTACAATTAGTGCTACTTGATCATTCTTAGCACTTATTTTTTTTCCTTCTATTTGTTTTTACTAGATTTTAGCTTTCCACTGTTCTTGATGCATGAACCGAGCCATAATGGATAGTTGTATCTAGGGAATTACAAAAGTCAATTGAATTATGGCATGATTGGCTTTAGATCTTCCCTGGTTTCGGCAGTGTTACAGTACAGGTAATGCTGCAACCAAAATAATTCATAACTCAAGATAGGAGGTAGGGAGTTTCTTGTTAATTTCCAAAGGCCACAGTCTCAAGAAAAATTGTCCAATTTGCGTATTCTAAGTGAGATTAGGTGTTTATTGTAGTAGTTGATCTTGTTGGAGCTTTGCACTTCCTCGGAGAAAATCTTCAACTGTTGCGCAGGAGAGAAATAAATTCATCCACTAGCTATAGCCAATATGTAATTGCATTGTTTTTGAATTCACCAGTAGCAGGTCATATTAGCTGTACGACTCTCCAAAATTAGCTGTTAATTCCTTGTTAGCAGTGTGATATAAGAAGATTTTACGCATAAAATTAAAATAGCTAAATACATTGAAATAGAGAAGTGTCACTAGAGTGTCATGTGATAAAAGAATATATATACTTGCCAAAGTAAAAAATAAGTTTTATTGAACAGATGTAAGACTAATATTATATGAGAGTGAATGTTTTGCCCTTAAAAATCCAACATATCCAGAAAATGAATATTTTGGTCTATTTTTATCGAACTATATTTATATATGTTAATTTCGTTAACACGTTTTATTATATTTGTAGGAAAAAAATTGGGGAGGAAGATGAGTCATGATGAGTTCTTCATGGAGACTCACATCCGGAAGAAGAAGGCACCGACAGATCCAACTAGATGGGTCGAGGACCGGGCGGAGATTACACATGTAAGTTTCATAACTACTATAAATGTTTATAATATTATATAGTTAGTAATTTTCTATCTTCTAAATAAAGGGTCGCTACAAGATCAATTTGGAGGAGTACACTCAGAGCTTGCCATCAAATGAGCAAGGTGAGCGACCGCCCATTTCAGACGAAGAAGAGGAGAGGACATGGTTGGATATTGTCGGTGGTCCTAAAAAGGGGATAGCATACGGCCTTTCAGATAAATTGTTTCGGCGCTACAGGGCTGGATTGCAAGGTATAGGGACTTCCGCCCAGGGCGAGGCGATTGATAGTTCGACTATATCGTCTATGGAACAGAAGATCGCAAAGCTGAGTGCAGAGCTTGAAGAGACCAAGGCTAGAGAAAAGAAGAGATTTGATACCCTTCAAATTCAGCTAGAAAGGAGGGACGAACAATTTGATACCCTTCAAGTTCAACTAGAAAGGAGGACCGGATAATTTGATCTCCTTCAAGGTCAGTTGGCCAATCTTCTTGCTAGTGGTGCTTTCCCCATTCCCCGGTCTCCTCCTCCTTCCCCACGTGCCGGCGATGAAGGTCCTAGGACTGAAAATGGAGATGATGCTACATAAAAAATCTCATTGAATGTTGTGTATTGTTAAACAAAGTTTTGAACTTGTCAATATTTTGTTGTTGTTGGTTATTTGAATGATGATTATATTGTTATTTTGTTATTGAATATTTTAGTAGTTGTTGTTGTAGTTGTGGCTATAAGTTGTTGGTTAATTGTTGTTGTTGGTTGTTTGTTGTTGTTGGTGGTTATTAGTTGTTGTTATTTTGTTGGGGTTTTTCTATGGTTTGAAATTGACTAGCAAATGTAAAGCTGCCATTATAGGAAGTATATTGGTTTAAATT